CAGACCTGTTGACGGACTGTCCACATTGTGCTACTTTTTCTCTTTGAACCTGTATCAGAGTGAATTAATGAACTTGGCTTCATAACATTTACTAAGCTGTGGTTTTCTTCAGAATAAAAAATCCTTACTGTTTGTATTTCCAGATTAGTTTTGTAGCAGTTTGTTAAATTCCAAAATATCCTATTGGAATTATAATTAAAACCTTATTAAATCTGTATGTTACGTTTAGGGTAATAAGCAGTTACAAATATTAATCTTCTCATCCTGTAACAAAGTACACCTTTCCATTTTGTCAAATCAAATCTTTTTTTATAAAATAAGTTTTTGTAGTTTGATTTTAAAGATTGCATTCAGCTAAGCAGATTCCTAAAAATTTAATATTTTGTGGAAACCGTGAGTAGAATCTTTCATTGTGATTTCTAACTGAATATATGGGTTACTTGCTTTTGTTTATTTCTAACTGAGGTATTATTGTTTTCCACCTATAAGGCACCATCACTATTTAGTTGTCACTTGTATCAAAAGAAATGCAAACCTCCCAGGCAATGTAAAAGGGCTCCAGCCTGTTCAGGAAGCGTTGTTCTGTGACCTTCGAGAAAACTACTTTCTTTCTTCTATAGCCTAAAAGAGTAGAACTGAAGTGAGGTATGAAAGGAAGAGAAAATTAAAGTACACACATCCATGTTTGGAAAATGACTTCATCCCCTACAAGACCTCCTAGAATATGACCTTCCAAACAAGCACAGCAAGGAGCCTTCCTGAGGCCTTGGAATATTTCTTACGGCCTAGGACTCCCAAAGTGGAACTTGGGGTTCAAGATATTAAAGGACGTTGAATTGGGGCTTTGACAATCTTGAAACATTTGTGTGTGGCTGGCTAGAAGCATAGTCCCCTCCCCTCCTTAGTTGCTGTATCTGGTTTATCTGATTGGGAAGCAGTGTCCTCTGGGAACTACTAGAAGAAATGTCAGTAACAGAAATTAATTCTGAAATTATGGGCAAGATGATTGAGTTAATGAGCTAGTGGAACATTTTTCCTCTGGACATGGCATCAGGGCCTTTTAGCAGCATTTCCCTGACCCACCCCCATCCTGTGAGATGGAACCAAATATTTTCCTTCTGCCAATGACAATAGTCAAGGTCACTCGTGGTAGGGACAGGACTGCCATTCTGATAAAGCCTCTCAGTCTTGAGGTATGGATCTCCTTCGTGAACAGACCCAACAATCTTCTATGCAGCATATCACATCTTTCCTGGAATGTTATTCCAGAATTAAACAATGAAAAGAGTAGTAGAATTTGTAGTTAAACCCAAGTTCAAATCCAAACATGTTGATTACAAGCTCATCATGGGAATGTGCCTTAAATTCACTATGCCTCTTTTTTTCCATCTGTAAAATGAAAACAAAAGCACCACCTTCCCTAATTACTTGTTTAGGAAATATTTAATGCATACTTCCTGTGTGCCAGGCACTGATGTGGGCACAGCAGAGGACACAACACACTCATGGAGCTTGTATTCTAGTGGAGAAGGGAGTAAATTTATTTTTTAAATGATGAATGCCACAGGAGATAATAAAGCAAAAAATGTGACAGAGTGAGGGTGATTGTTGTTTTCAAAGGGCTGACCAGAGACTTCTCTCATAAGATGTTTGAGCACAGAACTGAAGAAAGGGTGGAAATGAACCCTGAGAATATTGGAAGAGCATTTCAGGCAGAGGGAAACACATGTGTGAAGGCTTTGTGATGGGAGCATGCTTGTCTTAAAAAATAGAGGAAGACCGGTATGATTGGAGCAGAGGATGTGACGGAGAGCATGGAGCTGGTAGGTGAAGTTAGAAAGGTGTGAGGGAACCAGGTAGTGCAGGGCAGTGATTTGCAAACTACATCCAGTAGGCCAAATCCAGACTATGACCTGTTTATGTACAAACGTGTAGGCAAGGGAGGTTTTCAAATTTTTACAAGAATTTTTTTTTAAAGTTTTTTAAAGGACAAATTCTTAAAATAAGGCTGGGCATATGGTAGCTTACTCCTGTAATCCCAGCACTTTGGGAGGCCAAGGTGAGTGGATCACCTGAGGAGAGCAGTTTGAAACAGCCGGGCCAACATGGGGAAACCCGCTACAAAAATTAGCTGGGCATGGTGGTGCACACCTGTAATCCCAGCTACTCAGGAAGGAGGCTGAGGTAGAAGAATCGCTTGAACCTGGGAGGTGGAGGTTGCAGTGAACGGAGCAGCACCACTGCACGCCAGCCTAGGCAAGTGAGATGACTCCGTCTTAAAAAAAAACAACAACAAAAAAAAAACCCGAGGACAGTAGGACAGTATCATACTGGGCCCACAAAGCCTACAATATTTGCTATCTGGCCTTTTACAGAAAAAAATTACCAACTCCTGGTGCAGGGCCTTAGAGGCCATGGTGAGGACTTTGTACTTGTATTCTAAGTATGGTAGGAAGTCACTGGGGGGTTTTGAGCAAGCAAGTAACATGTGATTGACAGTTTTTAAAGGATGTCTCTGGCTTTCATGTTAGCTCAGACTGTGAAAGGAGGAAGGGCAGAGCAGGGAGCACAGTTGGAAGGTTGGTCGTTAGCAAAATCCTGATGAGACTTGGTGGCAGTAGAATGGACTAGATTGACAGGTGCAAGGTGCTGATTAGTGGGATACAGAGTATACTTTAAAGATGACACCAAAAGATGCTTTGGACTAACTGAGGGGTATGAGAAGAAGAAAGGAGTGAAGGATGGCAGAGGATTTCTAGTCTACTCACCCCTCATAATGTTGTTGTGGAAACAGAATGAGAAACTAATTTTTTTCTACCTCTGTGGCTTGACCCTTCCATTTCTTCCACCATTTTGCACTCAGGGTTTTATTTCTAAGGCACAACTTTGAGTGTGACACTCTCCTTTCAAAAATCTACTCCAGTATCTTGCTAGCTGTGGAACAAAGTCCACCACTGAGCCAGCCAGTCTGAGCCCTCCATAATCTGGCCACCCCTCACCTGCATCCTGTGTCATGTCCTGTCACTCTTGTTCATCCACCCCAGCCCGAACCAGAGAACGGTCTGCGAGACCCCATGTGTGCTGCAGTTTTTCCACTTCCAGCCTTTTGCCTGCGTGTGCTCCTCTCTCTTACTATGGAGGTGTGCCAACAGTCCTACCAGAGCGTTGTGGTTTACTTTTACTATAAGGTCATTGCATGATACCTCGTTATCCTCCTAGTCTATTTCAACACTCTCCACATTCACTTCTTTTAATAGATGTTTCCATTTGTAATATGATTTTTATACACAAATCTTATCCCCCACCATCAAACTTCAGAAAAGAAGATGGTATAGCACAGAGTTAAGTGCTTTCACCTTTGTTAAATCCTGCCTGCGGACTTGGAACCTTTATGACTTTGAGCAAGTTACTTAAGCTCTTTAAATCTCAGCAGTGTGTGCCCAATGGTAGTAATCATCATGATGATAATCAAAAGCTCTGTCGGAAAACCACTTCTGCCATTCTAGCGCTTGAGGCTCGATGGTTCCCTGAAAGCAACAGTTCTCAAAACATGAGCCCCCTTGCTTTTGGGGATCAGTGACTCTTAATTCTCCTATGATTACAGAGTTGGTAGGGACAAAGAAGAGTTGGAGGAAGGTGTGACCCATGATTAACAGTAGGAAGTATAAGCTGGTCAGTAGATCAGTTTGAGATGTAGGACTTTTGGGGAGGATACATCCACAATATAAGCCATCAGGAGCCATCAATTAACTTGTAATAATACAAGTGACTAGGACCAGTTTTTGTTAGATTGACAAGATGTGAAAATTATTTGGTATGTCTAATTTTAATGTAAGCTGTTGACACATTTGTAAATACAGAAGCTAAAGTTAATGCAAATGATTTCAAGAAATCTGAAAATATTGTGAAGAGCATTGTAATTCCACACAGTATTAAAACCTGGAGAACACTTAAATATCTCTGTAGCTGTGGGAAAAAGCACAGCCACATTTATATTTAGTTACCGACTTTTTTGGAACATGATAGCACGTTTATCCTTTTTCTCTTCTTTAAGCTCATTATGTGACATGAAAAACCATCTCTTTGACAGAGTGATTCTGTTAATGCAAATAGAATTGAAATAAAATTACTCCAGGCCTTGTCCCCCACACTACCTGATTCCCCTTCCTCTGCATTGCTCATTACTGTGGTTGCAGGTGGACATGGGAGAGGGGCAGAGCCTCAAACCAGCCCTTGGGCTGCTGGTCTGTAGCTCTGAATAAAATGGACTGCATAAGAAAAATGCTAGAATTATCTTCGTAATTAATTTTTATCTCAAGCTTTGGATTCTCTTTCTGTTCATGTTTGGGGAGGGCAGGGTTTATGTTCAAATATTTTCTCCAAAGGGGTATGTGATCAAAAACTTTGTCACTGCTTAGCATGATGAGGAGATACTTAGGTGAGAGGTTGGAAATGTTGATGTCATAAAAATCCTAGAATTTTCTATAGGTTGCCATTTTCCGTGCTACCTACTCACCTCTAACTATAATAAATTATAGCTTTGTCTCATATCATGTACTATTAAGTTCAGCACGGTGACCTGTGAATCAGATTCAGGGAAAGAATAAGAAACAGATGCCAGTGGCTTTATGTTGGGCCATCTCTCCCTCTCATGCCTCCCTCTCCCACTGTTTGGGCAGCCACTGAGCAAATAGCCAAAGTGCAGCTGCCTGGTGAGGCGGAGAAGATACCTAGATGGTCTCTCAACTGAAGGATCTATTTCTGCATAACTGGGTACCCTTTTAAAGTCCTGGATTTCAGAGCCATCTCTCGTTGGTGAGATCTGTGTAAAAAGGACCCATTTAAGGGAGTGGGCAGAAGGCATAGTGCCTTGATGGGAAAAGACTGCATGGCACAGATTGTGACCATGTGCCTGCCTGCCTGCCATGCTGCCTTTGTGTCGTTAGGCTATGGCTACATCACGTTTGTTTCTCTCTCCCACTCTGAATGCTTCTGAGAAGTTTCAAAGGAAGGTAAGCAGTACCTATGTCATGTACATGCTTCTCTGGTAGAACAGCTCTGGATTTCTGCTGATCCTGGGCAGAGGCTCTTTCTGGGAATAGATTTGGCCCCACACACCCTCTCCCAAGGTTGTTGCATGGCTGTGGTTGGTCACACGTCTCTTTTTGCCCATAGACCGGCCACTTGCTTCTGGAATGAATTCCTTAGGAGCTTTGCAGTGGGTCTTTCCATGGTAGTCTGTCTCCCAGAATGATTGTGCTGCTTGCTCCCAGAGAAGCCACAATTGGCATGTGCTGACCTTATTCTTCCTCGTTCCCACAGGCAGCACAAGGAGGTGGCCACAGGACTCTGTTATACGGCCATGCAATTCTCCTGAGGCACTCTTTCAGTGGAATGGTAAGCAGCTCTTATGTCCGCTTTCATCATTCAAGGAGAAGGAAAAACTGAACTAGGGGAGTACAAGAGGCCAGCAATAACAACAATGTAACATCAGGAACAATTGGAATATAATTATAGCCCAGTGTACCTTGGCACTTCCTTCATATGACCTACCTCAATTTGCAGTGATTGCAATGATGTATTTGTGTTTGAACAGTGTAAGACACCCCACCTCCAACTCCATGAAGAAGAAGGCCATGTATCTTTTATTTTGCCAAACCTAAACCTACCAAATACAGCGCTTTGATTTACTAGATGCTCAATAAATATTTGTTTAATTGACAAATGATCACATGGCTCAGGGAGCAACTGATCTCTTTAGTACATAAGGATAACCAGCATAGAAGAAAAACCAATCAAACAGAAATTTTGTGACAGTTCTCCTCCTTTACCTAGCTAAGAGAAATAGAATGATTCCCACTGCTTTCAGTCCTGGAAGAACTTGGAGGTGTTATGCTAATCCAGAGACAGGAGGAAGCCAAGGGCAAGGCAGTCACAGAAAGCTGCATGGCTATTGCTAATCAGGGATCTAGAACTAGAATTAACCGAAGGATGACGCCTCAATGTAACTTGAAAAAAAAATTGCTACATTTTAAATAAATATATTTATAATTTACCACAATTATAATTTTATAATATTTTAAAATACAGGTATTATAGTTTTGCAGGGAATATTAAGGAGAATATTATCATCTCAATCAAGTATAATATATGCCATTCCAATAGTGTATCATCCTCACTTCCTATCCATATAAAGAAGGCTTGTCATTTTTCTCTAGCCCTAGTGGAAAACTGATACATTAATTCAAGACTATTTCCACACATTTACACCAGCAGCATGATGCAAAGTTCATTTCCAGGCTTGAACTATCAAACTGACAACAGGAGCAACAGCTGCCTCTTAAATAATTCATTTGCTACAGCATATTTTTTTTCCTGAGCACTGGTGAGAAGTTGACCTTTTCAGCCTGAACATTTGTCTGCTGTAGTCCTTTCTGGCAAAAGACAGAAAACAAAAATGACCAAACGGAAATGTATCCAAGTAGGAGATGGAGACGTTTTTGAGAGTAGGGAAACTTTGAACCCTGATAATCTCTGGAATTGAGGAATGATATGTTTAAGAATCTTGTGTTTATCTATAAGGTAAACAAACCTAACACTTCTCTTTACCTAAATGGAATAAACCAAACTTCAAAAGTGTACTGGCTTCGAAAACAGGCCAACATCCTGGTAGTGACACGAAGGCTTTTTCATTAAGTTTACCCTTCCTAAAAAAAAAAAAAAGTTCTACTCACAGTGAACATATACTCAGTATCGGCTAGCTCCTTTTAAGTACAGCTTTGGGAATAAAGCCTGTAAGATATGATGTACATTGCAATGGTTTTCCATTTTCCTCTTGCAGAGAACTAGAACTGTGGCTCAGAAAGTGCATCCCAACAGATTACATGCCTCTCACTCTAATTCTAAGATGAGCTGCTGTCCCCATCCAGTGAAGGAGGCCAGGGGATTCTTTATTAAATTAGTTTAGCAATCATTTTTAAGTTTCACCTCCCCATGTATCTTTATAATAAGCAAAAGTAAACATTATTTTGAGAAGTTTTAAAGCTCATAGAAAATTTGTAGAAACAAAAATAGAAGTGGGCGAGTCATCCATGTCCCTGCACACTATCCAAAAGCAACTTCTGTTTCATTTTTGTGTAATTCCTTTTAGTCTGGTTGCTACACATTTAAATTTTTGAGTACATGTTAACATATAAATGTACTGTTTTATATATTACTTTTCAGCTCAGTGTATTGTAAACAATGTTCTAGCTATTACACATTCTTGATGAATACTCTTAATTACATGGCATTATATAAAATAGATGTATCAAAAGTGATCCAGCTTTTTCATTATTGTTGGTCATTTATGTTCCATTTGTATTGTTTCTAACCTAAAAGTTTCTCGGAGTATCTTTAAGGCATCTTTAATATTTCAAATTCATTTCTATAACATATAGTTCTATACCTTAAATCACTGAGTCATCAGGTAAGAGCATCTTTGAGGTTTTAAGTGTATTGTAACAGTATTTTCAGCTGGGCATAGGGTGGTTCACATGTATAATCTCAACAGTTTGGGAGGCCAGGGCAGGAGGATCACTTGAAGCCAGGAGTTCAAGACCAGCCTGGGAAAAATAGCTAGACCACGTCTCCACAAAAAAATTGTTTTAATGAACTGGGCATGGTGGCACACGCCTGTAGTCATGGCTACTTGGCAGGCTGAGCTGGGAAGATTGCATGAGTTCATGAGTTTAAGGCTGCAGTGAGCTAGAATTGTGTCACTGCACTCCAGCCTGGACAACAGAATGAGACCCTGTCTCTAAAAATAATAATAGTTAAAAATGAAAGTATTTTATTAAGACATGTACCGATTAACTTTCCAATGGGCAAGATAAATAGAGCTCTTTTCACAGTAGCTCACTATTGAATGTAACTGGAAGCTAACTAGTGGTAAGATACCAAGACTCAATGGAAGAATGTGACTTCACTAGTATTGCTCTTCTTTCACAGTATCTAACATGCTTGACTACATCAAGATCCCAGACAGACAAACTTGCCTTTGATGTAGGTCTACGGGAACATGCCACAGGTGAGTCAACATTCCCAGATCTCTTGAGCTCAGTGAGGGTCTTGAGCTAAGGGCTTTTGTGAAGGACTCTGAATGTGTTACTCATGTGGTATTCCAAACCAACCTGTTTAAGAAATAGGTCTGAGAAAAAAAAATTGCAGAATAATGGACTAGAGAGAGAAAGTGTAATGGAAACACAGACACTAAGAATGAAGGAGATCATAATGTTTTTACCACAGTCAGCCAGTATCTCAAAGAAAAACAATTTTTTAACATTGTTAGGTACTGAAAGTAAGTGGACAAGTCATTTTTGATAAGAACCAATGATACTAAATGACGGCCAAAAAATGAAGGTAGCATAATAAAGGCTTAAATAACGAAATGTAGTGTCTAGATCAAAGGAGTAGTCCTATTTTGTTCTGCAATGAACGAGCTATGTCTAAAGTGGTGTTCTCCAAATGTTACTTAATGATATCTACCATCATGATTTGACATTCCACTGTATCCTTTTTAATATCATTTACTTTATGCTTTTATTTAAATTTCATTACTTTTCTACTTAGAATTTTACAGACAAAAAACTTATTGCCGTAAGTATAAACTGTTTTTGCTTACCATAAAAATCAAGTAAAAGAACACCATGTCATTAAGTAATTTAAGAGATGCTGACAAATATTATAAAGCGTTAATGACGTACTAGTTCCAAATGTAAAACTTTATTTGAAAGCATCAGAAGGCTTAAACGGGTAGTAAAGATAAAAATAAATTTCTCATTATATGTATCAATGTCATTTAATTGCCTTCCACCAATGATATTCATCATATACTTTGGGAACCACTGGATTTTTTTTTTTTTTTTTTTTTTTTTTTTTTTTTTTTTTTTTT